TCTCGATGCTTGTAGTAACAGCAGATGACAGTGTCCTTTTTGCTCTCTCGCAAGCACTTTTCAACCTCCTTAAGGCACGTGGATTCCAACTTATGTCAACTTTACTTTTCCTTTTCATCTCCTCCACAAAGTAGTTCATCATTCTATTATCAATGTCTTCTCCGCCAAGGTGAGTGTTTCCCGCAGTGGCCTTAACTTGAAAGACTTTGTTCTCAATAGTGAGAATAGACACATCGAATGTACCACCTCCAAAGTCAAAAACAAAAATATTTCGATATCCAACACAATCATTTCTATTATCAAGACCGTATGCAATAGCTGCAGCAGTAGGTTCATTGATTATACGAATAACATTGAGACCTATAATAGCACCAGCATCCATGGTGGCTTTGCGCTGAGAATCATTGAAATAGGCAGGCACAGTAACCACCGCATTTTTCACAGGCTTTTCCAAGTATGCCTCTGCAATGTCCCGCATCTTTGAGAGGACCATGGATGATATTTCCTCCGCACAAAGGCTCTTCTCCTGACCCCTGTACTTAACAGAAATCATGGGTTTGTCATTGACACCGGCAACAACCTTAAATGGCCACAACATTTTGTCTTTCTGAACAAGTGGGTCACTGTATCTCCTACCCATCAACCTCTTAGCATCTGCAAGAGTTAAAAAAAAATATTTTGGTGGTCTATTTTTTCTGCTAAAATTTTACAGGAAAATCATAGATAGGAAAAAACAAGTAATAGTTTGAGAGTAAAAATATACCGAAGATGGTGTTCGCTGGATTGAAAGCAGCATGATTTTTAGCAGCATCTCCTATCAACCTTTCATGGTCCGTGAAAGCAACACAAGAAGGAGTGGTATTGTTGCCTTGATCGTTAAGAATGATCTCCACCCTATTATGTTGTTGCTGCCATACTGCAACACAGGAGTATGTTGTGCCAAGGTCGATTCCTATTGCCAATCCCTTTTTGCCTTCGGCCATTCTTCCTTATATGAATGAATACTGTAAGATAGAAAGAAGCATAGAAGTATGGATGAACATGAAGGATTAATTTTTATACTTAGTAAAAATAAGAAAATGACCCCAAACACCTCTGAGTTGTTCCGATCAACAGGGTCTCTTCGTGCATCGCAAGCAAGGAAATTGGAAAATAACATACTCGCAGCCATTAACAGTGTGATAGTATACAATTTTCCTTCATTTGTGGAACTAAAATATCGTTTTAACTGACACGATTTTAGTTAGATGGATGAAAAAAAAACGACGATAATGATCTTTATTATATCATCGTATTACAGTGATATTTTTCGGAAAACTTAGATATTGTTTTTACCTAACTTTTGCGGAGAGGTAGCAAGTTGATCGCTTCTTCATTTTCTAGTTTGTAGACGGAAAGTTAGGATTTGTGAAAGAGAGTGGGTGTTTATTATGAAGTTGGTATTTCTGACAGAACATTAATTGTATTGTAAAATATTAGTTGTATACAGGGAGAACACGGACAATGAACCTATATTCTTATTATAATAATATTTAGTTTTAAAATATTTTAATAATATAACAAATAATAACAAAATAATAAATTTATTAAATTTTTTAGATTACATTTAGTTATAACATAAAAATATAGTTTAAATAGAAATAAGTTAAGCTTATTTATAATAACAAAAAAATTTAAAAAAATTTATTACATTGCGTTTTTTAATATATTTATTGAATCAAGACGTAAGTGATATAATATAATAAAAATAAATACATAATATTAATAATTTATGAGATTTTAAGTAGACTAAGTTATAGAATTAATAATGTCCCAATACTCTTCAACATTTAAATTCTAATCACAATATATAATAGAGTCAATTCTGTTCCTTGTTGTATTAAAAATAAATATGGAGTTATGTTTTCCCTGAATGGTTCTCACACGATTATAATACCTCACTTTATCTTAAAATAAATAGTTTAATTGTCTTAATTGAACAGCTTTAAAATTAACTACATTTATCTTCTATGTAAAACTACTGTAACTTTTTTTCTTAATATAATTCATAAAAGTATATGATTTCACTCTTTATCTCATACGATTTTCACTATAGTAATTTTAATATATATTTTAACAAGAAACTTAAACATATTTTATTCTAAGACTTTAGTGGAAGAAACATTTGAAGAATAGTAATTTTGTCCTAAAACTCAGAACAAAAAAATAGAACATAAATTCATTATATATAACTTAGAACTAAATTCAAATTATGACAATCATTTTAGATCCATTATTATACTCCCTTATCATTCATCAACGTTATATTATTTTAATATTCAATTATGTTTATAAAAAGAAATTTTTTTGTCATTAATAATAATTATAATAATAATAATTATTATTATTATTATTAAAATATTTTAAACAAGTCCAACACACAAATAGACACTATAAAAAAACAAACATGTATTACAGCAGAAACATAAAAAATTTATTAGTAAAGATTTTTTTTTCAAGGGAGAAATCCGTCAATAATAATATAGTTGATAATATTTATTAATAAAATTTTATATTCTTCAATAATTGCTGTAAAAAAATTCATTGATAATTACAAGAAAAATTCACTGATAATTAAAGAAAAATATATTTGTCGATAATTACTAAAAAATATATTTGTCGGTAATTACTGAAAGATATATTCATTGGTAATTATCAAAGAATATGTTTGTCAAAAATTACCAAAAGATATATCCGTCGATAATCACTTAAGGAAAAATTCGTCAATAAATTTTGTCAGTAAATATTACGATTTGATTCATCTTCATTACACCTTGATTTTTCAATGTTCCTCCATTCCCTTTATTCATGCCATCAATTCTCCTCACCAAATCATTACAGAAGCACAATAATCCAAAAAAATATTATCTATATCCATCCCAACTATTCATTCCTCTTCGATCATCCATTACAATATAACACAACACACACAGGGCTCTCCCTTCGTCTCTCTCCTTTTTGCTACTTTATTCTTCTCATGTAACGACATGGTTAGCGATGTAGGAAAATATTTGCTGGTTGTAGGCGCAGTTAGGTCTAGAAGAAAGAAATTGTTGCCAACACCAACTACGTTGAAGGTTTCGGTCACCGTGATGGTGCATTACAGGGAGAAGCGCAAAATCAAAGGGAGAAGAGGGCGCCACGTGAGGTCCTCGGCACGATAAGCGGCAACCATGAATGAATCTTGGTGAAGATGACACCATTGGGAGAATAACAATATCCTACGTAGATAGAAGGAGGTTCGTTGGTGTCATCAACAGAGGTTGCGATTGCATTGCGACGATAGTGAACGACTAATGCAAGTAACGACAATATGATTTAGAGTTGGTCCTTTGTAAATGTGAAGAAGATGAGAAATGAGACATATACGGTTAAGAAAATGAGAGGTCTAAGAAGACGAGATAGCATGGGGAAAATTTTGTTCCTTTTATTACTTACGAATTATTCTATCGATAAATAAAATATGATTATTGGTAAATTTATTGATGATATTTTTTTCGATAATTAATTCGTTAATAAAATATGTCGATAATTAAAATAATAAAATTTGTTGATAAAATCTGTTGATAATTCAAATTTATCGACGAACTTATTTTTGACGGTAAAATTCTATTAGTAATTCCATAAAATTTTTGTAATGATATTTCTAGAAAATGAATTTCCTACAATCCAAAAGTTCCCAAACATTGCACACATGAACTCCAACTAAACACTTCTCTCTTTGTAATGCATCTTGCTCCCCTTCATTAACACACCTAAAAATGTAAGACATATTTAGAAAAACACTTTCCTAAATAATAAACATTCTCAAATCTTCACACTTGAACACAAATCAATCTTCAAACCTGTTCTGCAAATCATCATATTTTCATCTTTACAAATGACATGAAAGAAACAAACAAAATTTGCGTCTTTCCATCTCCTCAGACAATAAATAAGTGGATTTTGATATGTTAACAATTTTTTGACAACAAAACACATGTTGTCACTTTATTGGTCTGCTTGAATTTAATTTTAGAAAAATATTTGAAACTGATCAATCACAAATTACCACGTATTGTCAAAAAGTTGTCAACAAAAAGTTTTAAAAAAACTTTTTCCTAAATAAATATAAGAGAGCACAACCTTAATAAATCATATATTTATATTTCCCTTACTCCGTACCCAACACTCAATTAGGCAATATGCCTAAAGGAATAAATTTAATGGTTAAATGCAATTTTTAAAATAATACAACGTATAGTTAAATAAAAATGTACATTGTCATGTCCATATAAGTATTATTTTTAATATAAAAGTTCTCTTAATAATTTCTAATGCATATGAAAATATTTTTTAACAACAATTTTTTATAACCTTTTTACAATGTTTATACGATGATTTGTTATTGATTTATTTCAAATACTTTTTGAAAATAAATTTAAACAAGTTAATAAAACAGTAATACGTGATCTATTGTTAACATTTTTTTGATGAAAAATTATTAATATATCATAGTTCCACGAAAAATACATGCCGAACAAATTAACTATTCCTCTATTATTTTCATGTACTTGTATCTCGCTCAATCTCAATAAAGTAGTAAAAAATTTAATATTTTTATGACTATTTTGTTCTATTTGCATTGATATTATTGGAATATTTGGTGCGATTTTCTCCAATATTTACATAATATGATTGTCGTAGAATATTTTTTTATGAACACTTTTCGAGGTTGAATTTGCTTTTCAACTTCTTTTTAACTTTTCAAAATCATATGCATAATTTCTATTACATATTGTATTATTTTTATAAAATCTTTAACCAACCAAAGTATACTAAAAAATTAAGAAGTGCAGTAACTTTAATAAATTAAAAATATAATAAGAAAACAATAAAATCTGAAAAATGGTACTGTTCTGAGACACTGTTTTTCTTCTTGCGTTCCTTATTTTCTTAAACAAGAGATTTAAGAAATAGAAATAGAGAATTTCATTAAAAATGCTAATGATATAAATTTCCATGTGGATAACAGAAATAAAATTATTTAAAAATTTTGCTCTTATTTTGTCAAATCTTCTCCGCATCTTGCAAGAAATGCCAAGTACAAACAGTCTTACTTTGTCAAATTTGCTCTTATTTTGGTATCAAACTTTCTTACTTCCATAACAGATTATTGTGTTGTGCATCGTCTGCTTGATCAAATTTATTGTTGGTTTCTAGTGTTGTGTAATTCTACCTTCAAAAACAATGCTCATAACATGTTTGTTACAATGTCTGAACCATATCATGCTTGTGCTGTCTCCTAGAATCCTAGCACCCTTGCTCTTGACCATGCTTGCTCTCTTCTATCTGCCATTGTCCTTTATTTATGTTTCTGGGGTTTATTCAGTTAACTCAAAAGTGTGTGGGCAATTAATTTAGGTTTTGTGCGGATATATCCTTTGACAATTTTCTGACTGATTGACTTTATGCTTGAATTTTAACAATAATGTTAGGTTTTTCACTTGCCAATTTATGTTCACATTATGTGTCTGAATGTTTGAAGGTCTTGTGTGGTTCAAGCTCTGATTTAAATCATTTTGGGTGACACGCACGGTCAAAAATATTTTGAGGATGAATAGAAAATTTGGTGGTGGAAGGCCGCCGACAGGGACTCCTTCACTGGCTTGGTCCTGTGTGGTTGTTGTCTGCTCTCTTCTTGCCGGTGCTTCCGTTGTTCACAATATCTATAAGCCTAATCTTGTAAGTTTTTAGTTTTACTTTTTCATGGTCTTTAGTAAATAGTACACTCTTTATTCAGTGTTGTTATAAATATGAAAATACGCCCAAGGTATGTGTGTTTTTTCATTGGTTGAACTTTGACTTTTGAATGCCTAGTATATGATTTAACACACAGGGAGCTTGTGTGCTGGATTGAAACCTATGCTATTTGAAATACCTTTTTTTTAAACTGTCAAGAAAACAACATGCAGAGTTGAGATCATTGCTAGCTAATTTTTTGAGATGTAGCCCATCCTTTTACTTGACATTGCATTGATCATTGCAGTATACTATGCCATCCAGTTACTTAAGCACAACTTGTTAGATCTGTTTCACCATCCATAAAATCTATCTTTATGTCCGTATTACTATAAATTCAAGCCACTCTGTGTAAACATTGTGGTGAAGATATTTTGGTTGCAGTAGTAGCACATTCAAACACGTATATACTTGTTCAAGATCCTTATCTTGTCCTCTACTTTCACTATGAATTTAAACTTTCCCTATATTGCATCATACATAGTGAAGTGAAAAAACATTGATACAAACTCTTGAATAAAAAAGTCATGGACATCTAAGTGTTATACTCCCTTGAGGTTTTTATCATCTTTTATCACTTATACTATGGTGTACCTACGTGCAATCTAGAGGGTCTATATCTTTTTTTTCTTTGTTTAATGTTTGTTGACTCATTCTTTATGTAGACATTGCCTCCGGTCGATGGAGTTGATAGGACGAAGCAGAAAACTGATGAGAAAGAATGATCATCTTCCCCAGAATTCCTTTAAAATTCGTGAGATACCAATCTCTGGAGCTTAAAGTTAATAATCATCAGTAGTCTGATATACAAAAGTACAAAGGATTCAGTTTGGATGAGAATATTATTTCATTTATAAATTCCTTTGGAGTTTTCTTTGTACGAGTATGTTTTAAACTTTTGATGGATGTATGGTTGCAACATTTTTGGCGGACTAATTTGGTGGTCAAAAATATTTAGAAAACTGATACATTTGTGTTCTATAGTAATGTTTTAATGCTGTTTTAATTTGGTGAGTAGGGTCATCAAAAGACCAATTTTAGAATTTACTACATTTATTAAATATATATTGGCTTTGCTGTTTATGGTTATAAAATATAATGCACCAAACAACTGATAAGACGGGCTTCCGTCATATATAAGCATCCTCAGGAGTTTCTCCTCTCTGATACCTTTATTTTATCTGATGCACAAATAAGTCCTTAATTCAATGTATGAAAATAATGTTAACAACGGATCTTAATTTAGTTTCACATCGTTTAAAATCGTGACATGTTATTCTCTTTTTAACTATATAAACAATCATCAGTAAAGTTTGAAATATACATCAAAATATAAATATATTATTTAATATAATTATAGATATTAAATCACTTTAAATTTCTATCTTCTTTATTTCTCTTTATTCCTAACAATCACAAGATTTTACAAGACTTGTCCTATAAAATACACTTAGCTGATTCAAGCTGTTTTAAACAAATTTGTTATATATATATATATATATATATATATATATATATATATGTATTAAATCTTTTCACAATTATGTCAACCTTAAAAATCATGATTTAATTTGACTCCTACTCTTGATACATTTATAAACTATGTATTAAACTAACTCATTATAAATACAGTTGGTACCAATATAATGAATGCAGTTTTTTGCGGCCGGTAATTAAAGATTGAAGCACTTTTTGATTAATAAGCCTATATGGTAAATAAACTTTTAAATCTCCAATAATTAAAGCCTGAATAATTAACTTCATCTATCTACATGTCACGAACAACCTCAACTACTAATGCTGTTCATTATCCATTTCCACCCCTTTCTTTTATTCTCCTATGTTGTATTATTTTAAACACAATGCTTTGCTGGCAATTAGTACTTTTATAGAGCTTTATTTCTCCTTCGCTTTCAAATATTTGCTGTTAGTCTTGCATTTCAGGGACTTGACAGAGCATATTCAGTTAGGATTGAAGATGTTCTTAGTGCTCGACAACTATTTGTGGTTGGCTAGCTGCATAATCGGGCCCAAATAACATTAGGGTTTATTTTATTGTAAAGTGGATCCTAAATTAAAAGTTAATCTTAGAAAAAGTTGCATATCCTAATGAAATGCTATCCACATAAGCTTTCATTCTTGCCACTCCATTATTAGAGGGAAAGGGGTGTTTTATCTTTTTCTTCACCATTCCTTTATATACGTTTAAGAGAAACAATAGAGTATTATTACATAACTTCCAAATTAACATAATTCGTATAAACTCTCTTTTACTTGTACTGCTAGTTTTTTTCTTATTTTTTTTTCTGGAATCCAATCTTTATTTTAACTGCATGATAAATGGACTGTTTCACCTTGCATCTTCAATCAGTTCATCCTACACTTCTAATTTTTATTTTTAAATTTTAAAATTATCATTTGTAATTCAAAAAACTTTATATTCTATTTTTGTGTTTCATCGAATTTTGAAATTTGATGAATGAATTTTTCTTCATCACATTTCAAAATCTAATAGAAGATTTTTTCTTAATTAGATTTCAAAATTTGATGAAAGTATACTTTAAAATTTGATAAGGATTTTTTAAAAATTTTAATAAATTTCAAAATTTGTTGAATTTTTTAAAAAATCTTTCTGTGAATTTTAAAATTCATTGAATTTTGAAATTTAGTGAATTTTTTTTATCAAATTTTAAAATTCTTTAAGAAAAATATAACTTCTAAAGCAAATGATGAAATAATTGGAGGTTTGGTGTGACATATCCTAATTAACCTCGTATGAAAGGAAAAAAAATGTATAATAATAATTAAAAATAAAAAATTTCTTTTTTAAAATAAGATAAACAAAAGAAAACTTTAACTAAAAACAAAGGATATTTTGAGAATGTAAATATTTTAAATGATTAGATATTTTAAGTTATTAATGATTTTAAAATGAAATTATACTTATATAACACTCTTTATTGTTTTCCTCAAAATGAATGTTACTTCTACTAACTATTTCTAACAAAATGATCTCTTAAACAATTATTATAAGCAAAATTTAATTATAAAGACTGAAAGTAAGGTATATGTGAAAGAGAAAATTAAGTTGACATTCCACATAAAATGAACTTGGTTTTAGAAAAGAGATTATGAGAATTAATCTCTTGAATAAATAAAATAAGAAAAATTTAAGATGCTAAAATTAGCAATTTAGTGAAGGATAAAACGGGAGGACAAAATGCGTGCTAGAAAATAAAGGGTAAAAAATTTGTGGAGAAGAAAGAAAACAGTAACAAAAATAGAAGCACAAAAAACTAAAAAAACGAAGCACCGTGGAAATCATTGTTTGATTTAAAATGAGAAATCAACGGTTGATATTGCATCTTATGCTTCTTATATTGAATACCGGTTTCCATATTTTCTTGGTACAGCTCTCTCTCTCATTTCCCCTCATCACTAACTCTGCATTTTCTCTCGCTCTTTGCCTTCCATCACCCTCGCCATTTCCCTTCCCAAGGTCTGTTTCTAACCCTCGATCCGTTTCTTTCTTGCTTGGATCTGTTTCTTCCTTTTCCGTTTTACCATTTCAGCTTTCAATTTTGCTTTCTTGCTCAATTCCAATGGAGACATTCTTTGTTCTCCCTTTATTGGTTGTTGGGTAGCTGGATTTCAATCGGGCTGTGTTGGATTTTGATTTCTTCCTTTGGGTGCGAGAAATTTTTGTTTTTTCTTTTATTTTCTGACTTCTTTGTGGATGCGAGATGGATTATTGTTAGATTTTTGGTTTTTCTGATGTTTTTAAGTTATTTTTTCAAGAAAACTTAATCTGGGTCTTTTTCAATCGATCGATCTGGGTGTTGTTTGTGAAATGGTTTTTATTTTGAAGGAAATAGTTATTTTGACTGGCTTTAATCGTTACATCATGAACCGTTGTGTTTGTTTCTTTGAGATTTGTGGTCGATGGGGATGGATCTGTGGTTGTTGGGCTTGGTTCTGTGTAAAAGTTGTTTTCAGATGAGTAGGTAACGAATCTGGATTGTTGTTTGAGGTTGAGAGAACACAATGATTTGTATTAGTATACTTTTTTGCCGTGATGCAATTAATTAGTTATGTTTAAAATTATGGTGAGGTGTATGAAACTTCCCTCTCTCCCAAAATTAAAAGAAGAGATACCGAAAAGGAAATGCAATAATGCTTTACTTGTGGACCCTTTCTTTGGATATTTGCAACATTTTAAGTGTTCCCTAACTTTCTAACAACCAACTATCATGACTTATGGTGCATGTCTCATCAACTTATTCTTCTAACAACATCCCCGCACTTGTCTGAGAAATGTAGGATCTATATGTGAATGTAGGATGTTATAGTGGGTATGTGTACAGTATGTATTTACCTTTATTTGGGATATACTCTGTTGGAACACATTTATTTCTGTCATGCAATCTGAGATACAAGTCCTTTTCTGTGTTAAGTATTTGCCGGTAATCAATTGCCTAAGGTTTCTACTGTATATTGATGTGTGAAATTATATCACCACACAATAATCAATTTGTCACATGATGCTTTGTCCATGATATACTCATCCTTAGTGTTGATATATGTTATTTTGTAATGACTTGCTGTGGGACTAATCTGACTTAAGTAATATAAAAATTAGAACAAAAATAATGCAAGGTTTGTATAAGATTTCAGCTTATATTCTTCTTTTGTCATGCCTTTATTGTAATGGCTTAGCTTTCTGTTCATGTGTCCTCGTAGATCATTTATTGTTTATAAACCAAAAGGATTAAGATTAAATTATAATGGGTTAGGCTAAACGTATGATTAAATTGTGATCTTATCATCTAATTTTTGGTTTTTGGATATTTATGTCACTTGTTCCTAATGTACTATGGAAGGGAAGGAAAGCAATATTAATGTAGAACTTTTCTCATTCTAAATTTCCCTTATGGTCTTCTATTAGCTGTGTTTACAGAATTAGTGCACTTGTACTTAATATTAGTCAGTTATCCTGCAGAAATTAGAAGATGGCAGACGCTGAGGATATTCAACCTCTTGTTTGTGACAATGGAACAGGAATGGTCAAGGTACATGTTGGAGCTTTCTTACCATTTTGTATCAAATTTGTTTAATAGTAACTGACATAATTCTGTTGGTTTTATACGAATACCATTTTAATTTTGTTACTTATTTGAAATTGAGAAATTAATTTTAACGAATCTTTGTAGGCTGGATTTGCTGGAGATGATGCCCCACGTGCTGTGTTTCCCAGCATTGTAGGTCGTCCTCGTCACACTGGTGTGATGGTTGGCATGGGTCAAAAAGATGCATACGTTGGTGATGAGGCTCAGTCTAAGAGGGGTATTTTGACTCTAAAGTACCCAATTGAACATGGAATTGTGAGCAATTGGGATGATATGGAAAAGATTTGGCATCATACCTTCTATAATGAGCTTCGGGTTGCCCCTGAAGAGCATCCAGTTCTGTTAACAGAGGCTCCTCTTAACCCCAAGGCTAACCGTGAGAAGATGACCCAGATCATGTTTGAGACCTTTAACACCCCTGCCATGTATGTTGCCATCCAGGCCGTTCTTTCACTGTATGCAAGTGGTCGTACAACTGGTAAGCTAATCTTTAGTTGTTGGATTAGATTTAGGTTGTATAGTTTAGCAAATGTGAAAATTGCTATAAAGTTTCCATATATCAGGTGATTGATTTCGAGTTTATTTATTTTCCTTCTCTTTGCAGGTATTGTGTTGGATTCTGGTGATGGTGTCAGCCACACTGTCCCTATCTATGAGGGTTATGCTCTCCCACATGCCATCCTTCGTCTTGATCTGGCTGGTCGTGACCTCACTGATTTCTTGATGAAAATTTTGACGGAACGTGGTTATTCTTTCACCACCTCAGCAGAGCGGGAAATTGTAAGGGATGTTAAAGAAAAGCTGTCCTACATTGCCCTTGACTATGAACAAGAACTCGAGACAGCAAGGACCAGCTCATCTGTGGAGAAGAGCTATGAGTTGCCTGATGGACAGATCATCACCATTGGCGATGAGCGTTTCAGATGTCCGGAGGTTCTGTTCCAACCATCCATGATAGGAATGGAAGCTGCTGGCATTCACGAGACAACATACAATTCCATAATGAAGTGCGATGTTGATATCAGGAAGGACCTCTATGGTAACATTGTCCTTTCAGGAGGAACTACCATGTTCCCTGGCATTGCTGACAGAATGAGCAAGGAAATTTCTGCATTGGCACCCAGCAGCATGAAGATCAAGGTTGTAGCACCACCTGAGAGGAAGTACAGTGTCTGGATTGGTGGTTCCATCCTGGCATCTCTCAGCACATTCCAGCAGGTATGTTCTCTTCCTTTATTCTTCTGTCTTTCTCTAAATGATACTGTGGGAGATGCATTTTTCTATGCACAATAATGACACAAACTTGTTTTGAGTGCAGATGTGGATTGCAAAGGCAGAATATGATGAGTCTGGCCCATCAATTGTTCACAGAAAGTGCTTCTAAAGTGTCTTGAGAAATAGGTTTATTGAAGGGAAAGACTACTATGATGATTTGTCTGGAAGCAATACATTGCAGATTGTAATCTTTTTCATTCTAGCTTTTGTTATCTGTTCATGTTATTCTCTTGTTGGAGTGGTCATTTATTTGCAGAAGGTGAGGAGAGTTGTTTTTGAAAATGGTCCAGTTCTTTTCATGTACTTTGACAAGTTTTTGACTGGTTCATTCTGCCTTATGAGTTAGCTGGGATTATTAAACTACGCTTGTACCCGTTGTATGCATAATTATAGTCCATCATCTTTTCAATTACAATTTTATTATCACTCCCTATATTTTCTACTACTGCTATAATACTAGAAGAAAATTAACAATAATTGGTGCGGTGCTCCGCAGAAAACATTAAGTGATACAAATTAACAATAACTGGAATAAAACACTGCTGCTACCAATATATTTCTTATATAATATTTTTTCTATCTTAATATATTTTAAGAGGGATCAAGTTTTATAAAATACTTTTAATCCCAATCTTTCATTTGTCTTATCTAATGACTATGAATCCATTACTTTTTATCATGGTTATATCAGAGAAAAATAAAAGGAAATTACAAAGAGTTTACAATCTATTCTTCAAATAACTTGATCTCTCCTTGTACTTTTAAATACAATTATTTAAATTGACCTTTTCTTTTGATATATACTTTTTATTCTAATGTTTAAAAGTAAGAAACATCTTCCTAATTTATATTTTTTTATGATAGTTATTTTAAAATTTATATTTTACTTTATTGATATTTAATATTTTTTAATTCAATTTTTTAAATACGTTTCTTAAACGTGTTCTATATTTTTAGATTTCCTTAAACGTTGTTTATATCTTCATTTATTAGATTACTCAGTTTGACAATTAACTAAATTTTCAGAAACATATAGCATTTTGGATAATACTGAAAATCATTGTATGGTTCAAAAGGCACTGTAATGTAATTAACTTGTCACGTGTTCATAAATATAAGAACTGTGTAGTAGATTCCATCCTACAGAAAACAGATAGACAAATTACTTAATAATCTTTGTTCCCTCATCAGTAACCATATTTCTGATTTCATCGTTACGTAAATAGTGACCATTTATACCACCTTCCTTGATTCTACATTGTCCAAACTTATGATTAGTTCAAGAACTATACATATATCTTAAGTAAATTCTTGTAACATATCATCACACAGAAAGCAAGGATGCTACAGTCAGTTTCTCTTGATCATCGAAAGGATGATGTTCTTCTGTGTCTGCTGAACTTGAATCATTTTCATGCTTTAGCAGCTTTGAATTGTCCATGTCTTCAACAATTTGTAGCTCTCTATTATTTCCATCCGCACTGAGCTTCTTTCCCAAACTTGTGAAATCATATTTTTCATATTGGCGATCATCATAGTAAGAGTTACATCTCCCATAAATCTTAGAAGGTAAGTCACTTAACCTTTCATCCATTGCTGAGCTTCGCGGGTTAAAACTTCCAAACCCTTTGATTGCATGAGAAAGGTGACGTGCTGTTGCTCTTTCTTCTTTGAGAAAATCCTTGTTTCTTAAGAGCTTCAACACTCTTTCTGATAATTTTCTAACACTCAAACCCCAGTTGAACCTGCAGAATGGAACAATGTAACAAGGGTCATTTTGATTCATGCAACAAAGTTTAGGTCACAAACAAGTATTTGAGTTCAGACAGCACCTACCCTTTCTCATCAATGTGCTGAAGTTGTCCAATCTCTTCAATAACATCAATGTCACTTTGAAACTCCTCCGAAACTCTTTTAGGTCCATGAGTTAGAAGATGTTCCAGTAATATAAGAGCCTTGTATGAGGCTCTCCAATACCCTTTATCAAATTTCGAAAACCTGCTTTCTCCACAGAACTAGATCACAATTATTACACTTAACTATAAGACTAAGATTAGAATAACCAAATCAGGACATAAGAAACAAGAAACCTGTTATGCAGAATCTCCACGATTCTCTCATATTCATCCACTTCGAAGGCTGCTCGTGATATTACACTCGTGCTATGTGTGTCTGGTGGCCATGGATTCTCATTGGTGGCTTCTTCTGTCATTCTTTGAGATACACTCACAAAAAAAAAAAAATCATTCTCAAACATGAAAAGAAGGAAGTGTTTGATTGCACCAAAAACAAATAAAATGATTACACAAAAAGGATTACTGCAATTGAAATTTATCTCATTTCTGCTCAACAGTTTCACATGTTTAAACCAATTCCTCTGATTTGATATTAATAAATAAGAAATTGTACTAACAGGTTTCTAAAGACTTATTCTGCAAAATGAGTCATGTCGTTCCTTTGGTACTTTGTTGGAGTAAGTAGATGATATATTCCTTCCTTGTCAGAAGAATCACACTATCCCGAAAAAAGGGTTTTTTAGTTTCATTTTTAAATAAAAAAATAACTTGAAGAATGATTTGGTTCCATGACAAAGAAGTTCATTGTTTTTCAACTGTCCTTGTCATCTTGGAAGAACGATCTCTTTTTCATTTTCAAATATTGAATATCTTAAAAGCATGGTTGGGTTGAAACACAAATTATTACATGCATCAGGAACATCATGACCCCAACTGATCTCCATGTGATACATAACTGAGTTACATTTACTGGTAAATTAAAAATCTGAAGCACGTGGCGCTATAAAACCATGTAATAATTTCTGAGGTCATAGAAAAAAAAAGACTTACAACTGTACTGGTGTAACATCAGTGAGAACCAGCCTTGCAGTTCTAATCTTTTCCTTCAAGAACCGAAATGCTTGGCCTTTGATTTCATGGATGAGAGGAGAACTCATAGTTGCAGTTTTCTCTGGAAGGATTTTGAAGATAATGGTGACGAAGATTTTGAGAACTGGTTTTATTATATTATAATCTATGCTTTCCGTTTGTACATACGCAATATACGCAACTGCTCCATTACCAAAAGCACTAGTATTTCTTATAAAGTGGAGTTGCATATGTAATGAGAGGTAGAATAAATGAATAAACCCAACTTGTGAGTAGGAAAAAGGAAGAGGAACAATGTAAGCATGATTATTCAAAGGCAAGTTTTTCTGAAGCGTCTTTGTCTTAAAGTTCATGTCGTTTACAGAGTGCCTTGAACTACTCATTCATGACCAACGAGATTTTTGACTCAGTAAACTTATAAAATACTGTTTATTGATCTCAATTCCTCAATCTATGGTTGACTACGTATACTTAAATAGTGTGTATACGTGTGCGTATATACAAACTTCTACCACACTGTCACATATATAATGTATTAGTTAAAATGAAAGGAACATGAACTTATGTTTATCTATTTTCAATTTCAAGTTATTTTCTTACTAGTATTTTAGTTTGTACATTATTATAAGTATAAATAACGATTCTATATAATTTAAATGATAAACAAACATGTTTAACTGCATAAATCACTATAATTAAAATTTATAAATTGTGGTATCAAACGTGTTTACCCACTAATACATAAAAATTGAAATTTAATTTAAAAAATAAAAGTAAAAGGGACTTCCAACAACAATATTTGTTAAGCTAGTCATAGGAGTAGTGTGAAATACATATCCAGAGTAGAGAAAGGAGAAAATATTGACATTTGAAACACTGCATATAAATCAAGATTTGTGACTAGTAAAGAATCTATGTTCTCTTCCACCTGCCGTTCTTACTTCTGAAAGATTCTACAACTTTTGTCATTAAGTGACAGGTGTAAGAAGTGAGAGAATTGTGCGAAAGGTGAGCTTAAGAAGCACGAGATTACACAATTAACACAGACAAACTATCCACCAATGTCTCACATGTTTGTTTTCATATCTAGAAATGTGAGTTTATAAAGCACAGGTCACAAAACTAATAGAACCAAGCCATCAACAAATAAAACCAGGGTTTCCGGTTCTGTGAAACCAAACAAGAGTATTAGCCAATGCAAAATCCTCAAAAATAAAAACAAGAGTTGTCTAATGGGAACGATACGCGGCTTTGCTAACATGGTGTTAAAACGATCTCAGTAGCCATGACATTACATCCAGGAGAGATGAACAAAAGAGCATCAACAACTCACCGATTTTAGACAATCTCTTTTAAATGAAAGGCATAAAAAGTTATCTGTAGAATGTTGAGTAAGAAAAATACAACCAATGTGTGTGATTAAAAACTATTCCCAGTCAAAAGTAACAGATAATTAGTTGAGTATATTTTTACCTAGTACAATCGCAAAACTAGAAAAACAAAGAAGCAGAATGCCTCCATGTCCCAAAACTCAACGGCATCACCGGTAGGTTGTGGTCAGTCCCAAAAACTTTAAATATCACGTAATTGTCCGCTGAGCCCGGTATGAGAATACATGTTCCCTCGAGCAACAGATGACTCTTCGTTTGATAGGAAAATGTTCCCTTTCTTGATCATGGAAACTCAAGTAGAATTAGAAATTCTCCACATACCGGTCCTGTACCCCACAGACATGAGCACAAGCTCCCAAAGCATGTTAGGTATACTCAGAAGATTGACCTTGGATCCTGGAATCTCAGACCAATTCACAGAAACTTCCGAAATTGGGATCTTAAACCTTTTGCATAGAAAGACTAATTCAACATCAAAGCACCACCTGCAGAAAATGATAAAGGCTATTATAGATAGTTGCAAAAGTTTTCACCATATATGTGGGCCATACAAATTAGGTATAATATGCAGAAAGCTGGTTAGAACGAAAAACCACCATAACTTAAAAATCAACTTATCTTTCTGACCTGAGTCAAAGTTTTATCCCATTTAAGTTTCCATTACATGGATCACACTACACCATACCGCTTAGTTAAGACCAAAGTTTCAGAAATATTATTCAATATTTCCATCATTAATAAAATTTGTTTTATCTTCTTGAGGATGTATGATTTTCACTGTTGTTAAATGTCAATAACATGAGATTGCTTCTCATATCATGCTTCCTCTAAATATCAAATTTAGCTTATGGGAAAATCTAAAGAAGCCATTTATAGTAAAGGATATACATCTTATGGGTTTATATGCATTAGCTATCATGAATCCTCCATAAAAAAGACAGTGACCAATGAAGAAAGAACAAGAAAATTACAAATAAAAAATTGTACAAATAATTCATGAATAAAATTAAGTATGAAGAATAGGTTTTCTATTATTTCTGAATTATGAATTAATTTCCTTTCAAAATTTAAGAAAATATTGAATTACCTTTTTAAGCGGACATTTGAAAAAAGGTTCCTAGCTGCAGCCCTTGTGAACATCTTGAAACCACACTGAGGAAGTACTAGGTCAATATCAGAGAACAAAAATCAACAACAAATATAATAAATGAGTTCAAGCACAAGCATTCCATAAGCTTGATGAGCACTGAAAATATCGATCATGCTAATGTCAACAGGCATCGATGTCACAACTACCATGTCTGGTGAAGTTTTGGTCTCTATGTAGACATAAGCTGTATACCAATAATAGGAGTATCATATAAAAATGCAAGGAAAAAGTCAATGAAGAAGGAGATTGCCTGTGTGTCACGAATTCCAGGACCAGAAGCCAAGAGAACCACGAGATGGAAGCCCTTCATCAAAAAATTGCGGTACCACTTCCTCTGAAAGCATTAATTGAAGTTATTCAACCAAGATGACCTATGCGTATGACAACAATAAAACAAAGAATGAAGAGGCCCACACGTAACTGTAGCTAAAGCTTTTTCCTCTAGATGAGCTCTTGAACCAAATACAGCAACTGGGACATCAGAAATTCTAAATCTAGGATCACTATTGCTTGAATCTCCCTGGTGATATTCGCTTTTGGCAACAGCATGAATCTGATGTCAAAGCATTAAACAATGCATATCAAGATTTGGCACCAGAATATTGTTCTAAGATTTGATTGAAAGATTTATGAAAACTGCCATTGTAGAATTCCATTAACCTGATTTTCGAGCTTTTCTAGGTCTGTGACCTTAGTTGCTCCATCGGCATCAAGCATGAGAAGTAGTTCACCACGTGAATGCAACATTCCCTGTAATACAATGCTTTCAAGGAAAGAAGAAAGCCTTAATAAATTATCAATAAGCATGGTGTGACACAGGGGCATTTGACTTTTGATATGATTATATTTAAAGATACTATAGTTTAAATTAGACTCACTTTTCTGATTGCTTCTCCTTTGCCATGGTTTCTTCCTAGAAGGATGACCCTTACCTTGTCTACTGTGTATTTCTTCACAAATTCAAAAGCTACTCTTTTTGTTTCATCGGTACTCCCATCATCAACAATTACTACCTGCTCAAGTGTCCATTTTGAAGAGAATGTGGACGTGTACCCACAAAAAAGTTAGCATCTGGAAGAAAGTAAGTAGAGCAAAGTGTTTCAGATATGGTATCTTAGGCCAAACTGATTTCAATGAATATTAGAAAGTACTTTCGCTTCACATTAGTAAGGTCATGAGTGAAATAAAGCATTTCTTATTTCCACCAAATATCGTCATCATGTAATGGAGACATTTCTTTACAATACTAAATCTATATTGATAGTCCCTAGACAATAAGCTAGAATTTAAAATTCTAAAACAGTTCCAAGAGAGTGGAAATAAAACAGGATTATATAGACAAAACAAATATGTAGTAGAATAAAAGGAACTAGAAGTACCTCATATGTAAATGAAGAATCCTTTAAAGTACGCTGTTGAAGATAACTACAAATTAAGACATAGATAGATTACATTCATATCACCAAACTTAAACAATAAATGCTATGTTACTTAACACGAGAAGCATATAGGAAATTAATTACACCAACACTCTGCATATGAAGTCCTAACCAATTTAAACAAGTACAACCATGAAGAAAGTGCATATAAGTTTGGGTTTTCCCTTTCTTCTGGCTTCTTACCATTGTTGTCTGTACACCTCTCTCTTTTTTATGGAACGGGAGGCTCATATCAGATTACATTTGTCGTGTAAACAACCACCTTACAGAAACAATTGAATACACAGAACACACACATACTGATGGAGGTGGTCATCTGATATGGGCACTAGAAGAAGTGGATCAGCCTATGAACCGGTGCTGGACACAAGTCTTAGGAAACCTACTAAGTGGAAAGCATATCCAAGAAGAAATAAGACAGGGGTTCTTAGGAGTTAGTAGCAAGATGGAAGTTACTCGCTGTAGGAATAACAAGAATATAGACTTGTATGGGGGTTGGTGGCATGCGTTTGGTTAGTGTAAGTTAGGCAGGTATCCTTCCATAACAAGACAGAGGCTCCAGTGTGTGATGCTGTTCTCATCTTTCAGTAACAAACTTTTAGTTATCTATGATTGAATAATACAATACAATAATACCTTGATCATCCTCTCAGGTGCTCTCCCAGATGCAAAAACAGAATATAAAATTATGATAGTAGCCTAATAGACTCATTGCAATCGATATTATACACACCCAACAAAATTTGCATAACAGAACAACCAAAGTAGACTGACTCAGTTGTAACCAAACCCAAATCCTTTTATAGGTATTAAAATAAAAGCTTAAATCTGGTTAAAAAAACCATGCTTTCACTTACTTCATAGTTTCATCAAGAGCTCCTGGAAGCCTATGCTCCTCATTGAATGCAGGAATAATCAATGAAATATACTTTGTGGCTGGATCAACAATATGTGGGCAAGGAACCTAAAT